CTGTTTAACAGGGCTAATCAACAATTGAGATTTCACAACTAGCGAGACTTCAGACGAAAACCGTCGCCGGTTGTAGAATTCGAAAGCGGGATTATTTATAAGCAGACAGTGCGTTGGTAACAGGTGAGGGGTTACCCGTTGTGCCGGTTCATTGATTTTAATTCACAGAGGGCACAAGTCTGGTTAGCTTCTAACTGCGCTCTCAAAGAGTGTTTAGAATGCTGACTTGGTGTTTCACATACTGACAAAGACGGAGCCTTCTTGCATAACACAGTACTTTTGGGGGGTGAGGTACAAGACAGGAGGAGTCACAGAGGGGCGCAAGAAGCCTCCAGCCCACTCATGATGGTGAAAGAAAAAAAAGAAGGCAGAAAACAAGGCGACGTTGCCGCCCCAGTAGTGGGCAAACGCGCCCACACACACACACACGCTCAGCTGATTGTGCCTCGTCCGTCATGCCGACCCCCCTCACCGCCGCCTCCGCCACGCGAGGCATGCACGCCTATCGATTCTGCAGGAAAACGGGGTATGCGCGCGCGCACACGCGCACGCTCGCCTGTCTGCCTCTCTAATTCTTGCGAGCGCGAGGTAGAGAGCCGATTACTTTGTAATCACTTATTACAGCAGCGGCGGCGGCGGCTTCTACAAACACGCACACACGCACGTACGCGTGTGCACGCGGGACACACGTGCGCACCGAGGCAGCGGGATTTTCAATCGCGCTGAGCTGACCCGTCGGGTTGGCGCGATGGCGGCGGCGGCGGCGAAGCGACAAAGTGCAACCAAGTGAATCCAGTGCACGCGGTTTCGTCGCCACCACCTTCGTTTTCTGTGAAATCACCTTTGTTTAATTGGGCCTGACGCTCAATCGCAGCATTGCGAAGACTGTCGTGACTTGTGGGCATCATCCTATTCCCGCCCCCCACTCTTTCCAACAATCCCCGTATCTACCTGAACGTTGCTTTTATTCAACAGTCTTAGAGCCCCGACAGACGACCTCGTGTGTGCGCAAAGACAACGACACAGCTGAGCTGGGTGCAGTTCTTTACGAGGGAATTGCCGTGGCAACTGCCGCCCACACAAGCGTGATAAAGACCGGCTTAGGCGTAGCTGAGACCAATGAGTCGGGTGTACAAGAAACCACCAACAATCGAATCGCCCTGCGCGTCGTCACTTCACCCCAACTGTGGACCGTGCTGATTCGACTGGTCACCCAGACTCCCGGTTGATTAAAAAATGCTCACCGTTTCGGTAAAAAAAACCGCATATACTGGAAGTGACTCGGTGTGTGCGTGTGTGTAGGTGGAAGACGAGTTAACGCGTGGGCAGACTTAACAGCCTACAGGCGCTTCACACGCACAGCACGTGACACCGCTTCTAGCATTGACACACCTCCGACGGCAATTTCGACAACTTTGTGTCAACGTCGACATGACAGGCGGTTTTTGCTGAGGCAGATGCACTGAAAATCGCACAGTCGAGCGCCGTCATGGCTGTAGTTTCGATGGTGCACCAGTTGTGGAGAGATTTGACCCCGGGCACAGATATCCAACGTTAATCCACATCCGTGCTGATTAACAGGAAACACACAGTCGCAAGTGGATACCGAATTTTGGGCCTTAAAACCAGTTGACAGGAGTGAATTCTGGGGTGGGGGAAACTCAGAGGGTCACTCCCTCTTCTTGAAGTCCCCCGTAGGTCTTATCCACTGAGCGTCTGACCATCTGGAAGTTTGTAGATTTACAAAAAAGCCTCACGGAACAACCAACATCATCACCACATGGCAAAAGAAACCGACGCACCATCGATCCGGAACACAAAAAAGTGGCCCTGCTTTTAATGCATACACGCCACACAGTCCCGCGCAAGACCTGTTTGGTACTACACACACACACACACACGCATGCAAACACACAAAGGCCCCTGGCGGTGGAATTAATGTCTGCGCGAGCGCACTAATCGAGAGAAAAGAATCCGAAGCACGCACGCACAAGCCTTCAGGCACAAACTCCTGCCGGAAGCCGAAAGTGCCAAGGAGGGTGGGATAATTGATAGGTGAATCGGGAGACGTGAGGCGATGCGAGGGGTCCACGCGTGGGGACCAGGGTTGGAGTCAGGAGTCGATCAGGTGTAAACCGCAACACGGCGCGATGCCTTGACCGGGTGAGATTGATCTCCGCCTGCGCGACTGGAAACCACGAGGGTCTCTGGCCGCGCAGACGCGTTTTACCGTGGCTGTGCGCACTCACGCACGCACGCACGCACGCGTGTAAACTGTGTAGGCGCGTGTTAGGATCATTTCCGAACAAACAAACACACACACACGCACAGGACGTTCACCATGAATTGGACTCGTCTTTGTGGTCAGAGGATTAGCGAATCAGAAGCGATTACACTGGAAGAAGACAAACAACTACTAATACCAACCCCCAGCGCAACAAGTGATACAAACTTGACCGTGGAGAATGCTTGCAGGGATAACATTATCCATAATGAACGGGGCAAGTACGATTTCGGTGAACAGAGTAGACGAGAAGTGACTAGATAAATTGGTGTAGATGGAAGGAGAGCAACACGTACACGAACAAAACTCAAGCGCACTAATACGAGCTACAAGATCGCCACACCTACACCCCCTTTTCTAAGGAAATCATTTGAGTGTAACTGCAAGGTGTAAAATCGAAAACTCCGGGGCACTGGTAAGAGGCCGCTCAAGGCGTTGGTAGGTTGTCACGTCTTGGCATATGTGGAAGGCATTGCAACCCAACTACGCATGACATTACTTTCCCAAGCACTTTGACCTTTCGACTGCTGCCGCTGATCTCTGAGAGGCCTTCAGTCGTTTCCGGATGCAAGTTCCACACGTGATCGACTTTTCGTCACCCGGCCAAAATTTCACCTTAGGCCAAGAGGGCGAAGATGCGGCTCCACCACGCTCGTTAGGTTGACAGTGAGCCAACAGGCACTAGCATAGCTGGAATGCCAAGTTTTAACCCAATTTTGCTGGCACTTGTCGTCACCGTGGTTCAGCGCAGCACAGACAACAACCATGACCAAGTTGAATAACCCCGCCCTAAGGCTTTTGCTGGTCTTATCGTAGCGTTGCCACCAAATTTGATAACACAATAAAAAGGCCCAATGGCTTTCATGTCTACCGTCGTTATGGCTTAGTACTTTTACGCGTGAAAGCGACTAATAATAAACGCGGCATAAGGAACGACGCCTACACGGTGATGGCTAATGCCATTCAAGAGGCTGCGGGGTTTTGAGTCAGCTGTGGAGGCGCCTCTAGCCTAATTTGTCATCGAGTCGATGGATGAGGCATGCTCGCACCACCCATTCACACACTGGTGTGTGTGTGCTCTATCGTACGGCGCCCACTGTCCGTACATACCCCCCCCACCCCCACCCCAGTAAAAAAAACCAGGAAAATACTTGCAGATGATTGGTCCGTGTCGACAGCATACACTTCCACCGCAGACGACACTTGGAAATGCATGGGATTTTACTAAGTACAATCCCGGGGTCGAATGCAACGAGGTTTTGATGGTACCGATCCGAGAAGGGAATTTGAGCTGCGATAGGATTACGGGGTACGCACGAAAGTAAGCATAAGATCTTACGCCTCACTCGATCCGCTTAAACGCCAGCCCCCTGGAAGCCCTATCAAGCCTAGAGCTTCCATCTGCCGGCTAGTTATGCTGAACGGCGTCGATTGGGGTTAGATCGCCTTCCCAAACCCACACAGACTCGCACCACTGAGCAAAGCAACAACTACAGATTATCTAATTCCTGACGGGGAGTGACTGAGTCAACACGCAGGGGCTGGCCGAGGTGTGTAGGCGGTAGCCAGCACGAGCGTATTTTTAGAAGGCGCAAACGCGAGCGCGCGTTGTGCAAAAATAGTAGCTACGTAGGCAGTGGTAATGCGGGCGAGGCAGAAGGGACGGGGCAACATACATACATAAGTCAGTATAAAAAAACAACACACGAACAGGCAAGCGTCTAGACACATCCATGAGCTGCGTGTAGCCAGTCAGTGTATGCTGTTACGAAATTGAGACGACAAGACGCACAACACCAATAAGCACAACTACGGCTTTCGTGGACAGATACCAGCGTCACTTGTACGCTATTTGGACAAAACAAATGGAAGATGCGACACTGTGGCGTGAACTGTTTGGTGACAGATGTTAGCCTGTCCTGTGGATGGATTACACCCAAGGCTGAGTTGTATCAAAACGAGCAATTACGCAATACTAGAAGCATTCGAGAAGTAAAGACGTGTAAACAGGAAAACACACAAATGATATCAAGACTATTTTTAATCAATAACCAATCAAACCTGACTAATCGTGGGACAAGGCAAAATAGACTTTAAAGTTACGCTTACGACCGCCGTGTAAACATAAATTCATGCAAAAAGAGCGTACTGAACTGAACAAAAAAAACAGATAGGACACTTAATCGACTGCAGTGAATGCGTACCTTGTTGGGTTTGCTGCTGTTGCTGCAATTTCTTTGCTTCCAGTAGGTCAGCACTAACACCAGTTCCGCCGCCAGTACTTACTCCCCCAAATGAAGGGGGCAGGGCGCTCATTTTAACTCCTGCAGGCGAAAGTAATAATCCAAGTTTTGCCAAAAAATCCACCGATTGCTGACGAAACGCGAGAGAGGAGGCTGAAAGACCGGGTGCACTTGCTCGGAGTAATATTATTTCGGCTGAAATAAAAGTATACGGAGAAAGTGAAGCAGCGAGAAACGGGGGAGACCGAAGACGCAGACATACACACGTACGTACACATGTGCACGCGCGCAAAGTTATGCATTGATTGTGTGTGTGTGTGTGTTGCTGCGAGCACACACACACGCGCGTGCTTCTTGCGTGTGCAGCACAGCAAGACAGTGTGTGCGTGCGTGTGCGTACACAGCGCTCGCTAACTGATCACCTATGTATTTCTAAGCGCGCACACACACACACACACACACACACAGGATAGACAATTTTAGAAACCGGCAGTGTACTGGAGCACGGCCATTATTACCACACAGAAGGAGACTTCCTAAAAATAAAACACCCATTGCACGATAATATTTACAAGCTAATCTATACCACAGAAGGATTCCCACTCAGTGCAACACGCCCCAGCCACATAAAGTGGCACACACAGTGAAAAATGACAGCAGAGTAAGGTTTAATCTAGCATTCTAATAAGAGACGCGCATCAGCAACAAGGTAGTCTTATATAAACTAAAAGTGTAAAATTTGACTGCACAGAGATTAAGTTATGCGGAATCCGTGCAAAATCAGTGGCCAAACTGTAGATAACGATGACAAGACTCATTGTGACTAAACTAAGAAAAACAACACGATGGCAACTGTTCAGGAAAGAATTATGACTAGGAGAAAACCTAGTTATTGAAACGGACCTTTCAAAATATGACATCATCTAAATACAAAATCATAAATGGAAATTTGTGACCAATAAAAGTGTTGCTGACTAGACTAAAGCAAATAATTTTACTCCCAACACCAATTTACATTGGAAATAACATCGACTGTAAAAATAACCGGAAGGTACACACGTACACAAGAAGTATAGACCAGTTAATTGAATGATGAGGAGCTATTTAACTTGCAGAAGAAAGCTCAGTCGACCCCATTTATCAACCACAAACAATATCGGAAAATGGCGGAATTAATTTTTTTAGACTACTAATTTATAGAAGAAAGGAAATATTGAGACAACAAATAATAAAAAAAGAATAAATAAACGAGGGAAATGACAAACGTTTTCGAGAAAAAGTTTGCGTATTTCATAAACAGATAAATAAGCCAGCATGACATGAACAATGTTAATGGAAAATGAATACCCGCGACAACGACGAGTAAACATACCGCTATAATAAGAAATAGACAAACTGCCATCATTGACATTAATGAAGGCTCGGATCAAATTATTTTGATTAATTAAAACAACATAAAATGCAACAATGGAAAAAGAAATGCTGCAACAGTCATCTCAAATTAAATCCTAAATTTTATGTATATTATACAAATTATGCTTGCTAGTACCTTATTCAGCATTGACTACTGTTTATAATGTGATAGAAAAAATGTTTTACACCAACGCTACATTAGTTTGTGTGACTGAAAGGTTAGAAAGCTATTCTGTTTCGCATTTAATAATTGCGACTTAGAAACAGCTGTATACTAATTCATTTACAAATTAGCTATTTGACCGTTTTTACTTATTGGTGCAAAATCATTCAACAGTTATTACGTTTTAAATAAGCGTGTGATTTTGGAGCCTCCATGTAATTATTGCCAATTTACAACAGTTAATTTTTTTTATGCTCTGGTTTTGAAAAATATTTGTTCAAAGGACACCGTACTAAAGTTGCGAAAATATGCTGACTGCAATATTTTGATAAACAATAATAATGCCACTACACGCAGCTACAAAACATTTTGTAAAGTAATATTCTAGCCCTAGTATGAAGAAGACTGGCACTACTAAGCCTTGCCGTCTAGTGACAAGTCATAGCTCAACATGAAATGCCCACCATCAAAACCCAAGATGATGGCTATGTCATTTTACATATATATTGTTTTTCAACGTCCTCGTGTCTGGTTGACTGCAGAGCTTTCATGCTTGTCATTTAAACGTGAGTCAACAGAGGATTGGCTGAACTCAGCTTAGTCCAATATGTCTGTGCCCCTGTGTTTCGCTACTGTACAATACCCGAGCCCTAGTATAAAAATGACTGGTACAACGGAACAGGCTTTAATGACCAATCTTAAGCCAGAACCACTTGTTAGGCGCATTCCATCCAAGTCCACCACGCTGGCCACGCCGCTCATTATATACTGCTCCTCATTCGTGTCTTTCTCTGGTTAGCTGCCTATCTTTCTCGCATGCCATAGGAACACAGAGAGACATAGGATTGGCTAAAGCCAGCGTGGTCCAATATGTCTGAGCCCTCAGACGTCTTTACCGTAGAATACCCGAGCCCTAATAGAAAGAAGACTGGTACAACAGAACAGGCTTTATGGACCGATCATAAGCCAGAGCCACATGTTAGACGCCTCCCATCCGAGTCCACCACGCAGGCCACGCAGCTCATTATATACTGCGCCTCATTCCTGTCCTTCTCTGGATGGCTGCTTATCTTCCTGGCATGGCATTGGAACACAGAGAGACACAGGATTGGCTGAGGCCAGGTGGTCCAGTATGTCTGCGCCCTCAGACGTCGCAACTGTAGGTTTCCGACCCATGGTATGGTGAATAAGAGAGAGATAGGCAAAAAGGAGCACTTTAATAAAGGCCGAGACAACCA